GATTCCCGTTAACGATATATATATATATCAAGATATATTTGAATATGTTATTATCTGGAAAACTTTAAGGGCAAACAAAATTAGCGCTGTCATGCCTTATGTGATTTTTTTAATATAAAATATTTTTTTTTAAACACTTTGCTCAGGATTGGGATTGTTACAGATGCCATTCGGTAAAGTACAATGTTTTTACAAGCTTTTGGGGTATATTTTATTTTATTATCAGATGGCGGTAAAAATTTACAGTGGGCTCTTGGGCTATTATGATTTGATTATGTATGCGCCAGGGATACAAATCCGAGTTTCGCAATGTATAAACTGGAACATTGAGATCAAAAGTGCCGACGCAGAGTGAGCGAAATGATTCTTTTAAGCTATAAACTGTGGTTTGGGGAGATACTGGATGGACTGGAGCGTTAGTGGTTAGAATAAAAGGTTCTAAAGACTTGTGAGACTTTGTTTTTTTTTCTTTTTCCCCATAAAATAAAAATTGTTTTTGCCGAGCATAAATTGAGGTAATTCGTGGGAGAATGAAAATACTAATAAAGTCTGGGCTCGTTGTGGATGCGAAGTTTTAGAATTTTGTCAATGAAAATTTGTATATTGTTAGCTTCCACCTTGACATTTTTAACTTTAATTTTTGTGAAAGTCTATACCCGTTGGGCTGCAAGCATAACAAGTTTGGCTATTAGCTCTTTTAAGTTTTTCAAGTGAAAGAAACTACTGAAGTATTTTAAAACTGTGTTTTGATCTCAAGTTTGAATACATTTTGGCAAAATAGGACGACCCATTTAGAAATTTCCTAATATACATTTTCTTTTGTTATTCAGGATTTCTATAATTAAAGTTAGAAACTATTTATAATGAGAGCTAGGGCAGAACTCTGGTTATAAGGAGTTCTAAATGAAGGTTTGCTGCAGTAAATATTTATTTATTTATTTTTTTATATATATATATAACATGGGATGGTTTCCCATTTTGGTCTTTCTAATTTTAGTACTTATACAAGAAATGCATCAGCTACGTAACAATTAAGTTCTCGCACACTTTAGATAAAAAAACACTTTTTTTATGATGAGTCATAGAGATTGTAAATAATCAACCGTTATATTACAATGTTTGCTACATTCATCACTAGATTTAGATGTAATTAGGAAATTATTAAGATTATTCCCAAAAGCCTTAGTTGATGCACTACCGGTTTTAAAGTGTTTGCAAAAACATATGGAGCAAATGGTCAAACCAAATTTAAGACACTCAAATTCGTAAGTTATTTTCTTTTTTTTTTTTTTAATACTTTCCTTATTTTTTATGTATTGAGATGAGATAAGAGGCATGGTTTAATTTAATTTTTGACAAAATTGTTTTGTAACAAAATATTCTAGACAGACCTGAGATTTTCCAGTTTGAAATGCGAGAATCTATATATTTGTTAAAGATGAATCTATAGAAGAATCATTTCATTTGGGTCTTTAAAAATATGAAAACCAAACTAATTTTCTTTAGCAAGCAAACACCTGTTGCATTCTTAAGTACTTTTTTTTTAAGAAGTGTCTAGGGTAGTTTTTTCCCTAAGAGAAAACATCCTTTGGTGAAAGCTCTTTTGTGTTTTAAATATTAATTTAAAACCTTCAACATATCTTAGGACCCTCTTATCATTAGTTAAGTTAGCCCAAATGTTCTACAAATTTATTCAGTCTACCAGCAATCTCTTTTACCTTTATTTCCTTTCCTAATAACTCCTTCTCCCCTCTCTGCTTTTCTGAATACTTGTTGGTTCGTCCTTTGGGTTTTTTTTTTATTTTTCCTGCTCTTTCTCTGGCCTGGTTTTCTTCAGTCGCTATTTAAAAGTAGGAGCCTTAAGTTTTAAAGACTGATTGAAATTATTGTTTGCTTTTAGTTGGTGCCTTTAAATTAAATGTATGCTCGTTTTTTCAAATGCTTTGTCTGACTTTCATATCTCTACAAGCGTCTTTCCAAAATGAAAAACCATCGATACCTGCTTTTTCTATCATATTTTTCACATTGCTGTTTGAAGATGGATATATAAGGTGCCTAAGATGCATATATTCTATGGTAGATGTCTGATAATACTTTTGTTACATTTGCATTTGTTTTGATGCGTCTATTTCTGTTCCCTCCAAGACTAGCTTACAGAGGTTGGTATTGCAGCATATATAAATAGCTGTCGGTTTTATTTGATGACATGACTAGTCACTTAACTTTTTGGTTCGGAGTTTAAGGTGGGGAACCCAAGTGAAAGTATTTCAGATTTTGATTTCGCAAAGAAACTTTGATATTTTGCCATTCTCCGTCTTGCAAATATTTTCCCAACTTTTTACCATTTCTTCGTTGATTGGTTTTCCGAAAAAGATGTTGCTATTAGGATCCGCTCCCAGAATACCCTGATACTACATTTGATCCTTACTATTCGAACGTCTGTTCTGGTGAAGATGACCAGTTTAATGTACCTCTTAGATTCTAATTCTAAATCAACTTAAATCTATATTTAATCAATGGCCAATTCATGTGCACATAAAGGTGCACTTTTTTTTAGGTGCAGTATTTACCCATACAGTAATATAATCAATGAGCATTGCGTAGCATTTTTGCGTCCTTGCATTTTATAAGCATAAGACCAGAGTTACCAGATATTTATTTGTCTATAATGCAGAATTTACCTAGTACCTACATTCTGCTTCCAAAGTTTTTTGCAGTTTACACTTTAAGTAGCATTTTTTGCATTGCGGTTAGCCGGGCTAGCATCTTATAAGAATAAGATCAGATTTAACATATAAAGCAGTTTCCCTTGCAGAATTTTCATATGAAATATTATCTTTTGTGGCCAAAGTTTTGCGAAATTTACACATTAAGTAGAATTATTCGCGGTGCGGTTAGCTGGGCTAAGTATAAGATCAGAGGCAATACATAAAGTAGCCTTCTAAGTACATTTATTTTGCAATATATGCAGAATTTACACAATAAAATTTACACATTAAGTAGTATTTTCCGCGGTGCAGTTAGCCAAGTTTGCAGTTTATAAGTATAAGAACAGAGTTAACACATAAAGTGCCTTCTCGGTATATTTTTTTGGCTCAAATGCAGAATTTACACATAAAATAGTATCTTCTTGACCAAAATTTTACCAACTCTACACATTAAGAGGCATTTTTCGCGTTGTAATAAGCAAAGTTTGCAGTTTATAAGTATAAAATCAGAGTTAATACATAAACTAGCCTTCTCTGTACATTTATTTGGCATTTTTCGAGTTACAGTTAGCCGAGTTTGCAGTTTATGAGTATAAGATCAGAGTTAACACATAAAGTAGCCTTCTCTGTACATTTATTAGGGATAAATAATTTACACATAAAATAGTATCTTCTCGACCAAAGTTTTACAAAATTTACACATTAAGTAGTATTTTTCGAGTTGCAGTTAGCCGAGTTTGCAGTTTATAAGTATAAGATCAGAGTTAACACATAAAGTAGCCTTCTCTGTACATTTATTTGGCTTAAATAATTTACATATAAAATAGTATCTTATCGACCAAGGTTTTACCAAATTTACACATTTAGTAGCATTTTTCGCGTTGCAGTTAGCTGGGCTTGCATAATGTAAGTATTAGATCAGAGTTAACACATAAAGTAGCCTCCTCTGTATATTTATTTGTTATTTCCAGAATTTACACATAAAGTAGTATCTTCCGCCACAAAAGTTTTGCGAAATTTGCACATAAAATCGCATTTTTTGCTCTGCATACGTCTTATATGAATGATGTATCTTCTGTATATTTATATGTCGTCTAAATTCGGAAATTTACAGTAAAACAGTATCTTCTGCAAGCTAAAAATCAATTAAATTATGAAGAAAACCATTCTCAAACCTGTACTAGTATGAGATCAGAGTTAACACATATAAAGTAGCTTCCTCTGTACATGTCTTTGTCTATAATGCAGAATTTACACATAAAGTAGTATCTGCCCTCATCAAAGTTTTGCGAAATTTGCACATTAAGTAGCATTTTTCGTTTTGCGGACGAATTTTATGAATGACTGCACCGTTAACACAAAGTAGTATCTTCTGTATATTTATTTTTCGTCTAAATGCAGAAATTTACACATAAAGTAGTGTCTTCTGCAAGCTAAAAATCAGTTTAATAAAAAGAAAAACATTATTTTCCTACCTGTGCTCTGAATTCCTTCATTTCTTTTTTAATTTATCGTATTTTTAATACGATTTGCGTTTTCGATAGTTTTTACCCATGTTTTTATAATCGCTGGAATGTGGTCGGTTTAACGATGTGAATCAGGCGACACAACAATTGGTAATCAGTAATGTAGGCGGGTAGCGATAGAGAGTGACGTAAAATTTTAAATCTTAACATGTGGGTAAGCGGCGTAACATAGGTACACTACATGGTTATCTTTATTTCCACTAACAAGGATGTGAAGCATAATTAGTGTTCATGGATTTTGTTTGATCGTTATTAATAAATGTTAATTCGTCAGCGGAGAGTGATCTTTAAAGTGCAGTTACTATTCTCTTTATTTTTTATCGGCAGTTGTTATTCAAGCGCTTTGCAATATCCGACAAGTTTTATTTGGTATGAAAATCTGATATGTTTTCTTACGTAAACTACCACACCATTATTTCTATTTAATTAACCATCATTGTATATTATATTATAATTTTCTGGATGAAACAAATTAATAAATATCTTTATATAATTTTGAAATTAAAATGTGAAACGTATTTATCCAATTTTTTTTTTTTTTTCTATTCGGGTATAGAAACATAATCAACTTTATATCTCGTATTATCAGTGATATGTCTAGTCTCCTTACTTTGTTAACCGTAACACTTTAGTATAAAGCTGGTATACTAATACGTATCAAATACATGTTTTCATTAACCGTCCAATTTGATTACGCTCTAGTCCCTTTTCGTAACATGCATATCCCGTAAACATCTAGGGAATATCCTCCTATTTATTGTTGTAGGTAGCAGCGGTGGAGAAAGCATCCTCAGCGGCCAAGACAGACGAATGTCCGATTCCCCGAAGTATCCCCTTACAACAAGTTTAAACAGAAACAGGGTAAACAAGATATCGAATAGTTATTTAAATCTGACCCGAGAAGAAGGTCATCAAGCCAAAGAGGTAAGTTGAAAGGGAATTGAAACTAGTTTCGAGTAGTCTATTGTAATTTTGGACCGACTAATTTGGGATGTTTACTGAAAGCTAATAAGTTTTAGTCAAGCGTATTTACTGTTAAATGATATCTCACACCTTTATTGGGTTTTCTACACTCACAGAAGTTCTTGAAACTTTAATTACGAGAAAAAAAGTAACAAATATTTTAAAAAACCACGAAAACAAACCAATTATCTTAAATTGGTATAAGGATTAAAAGTTATTTTTAATCCCTAGAGAGTAGAAGTGCCATTAAATGTATCGTACTTTTAATCCCTAGGAATTAAAAGTAAATTTTTAATCCCTAGGGAACAAAAGTTCCATTTTATTCCCACAAAAGTGATTAAAAACTTCCTGCAGATCCGTAATTGAATATTTATTTTTTTAAGGCTAAATTAATAGTTATTTATTATACAAGAGAAAAAATTCACTTTTTTCCCAAGGAAACACTTTTTCCTGGAAAGCGGGGAAAGAGTAATTTCATAAAAAGTGACATTTTGTTACCTGACAAGAGAGATAAAATGTCAAACTTTTTTCCAGTCACAGAAAAAAATGTTTATATTAACCCCTGAAAAAATATTTTTGCTGCACAAATTACTATTGTGTTTCAACTAATTTTAGTTATCTAATACACTTATTATTTATTAGGAATTATAATTTTTATTTATTTATTAAGAAATATTTCCCATTCTATTTTGTTTGCTGCTTTTTCTCGCAACAAAAAAACAACACGATACGTACATAATCTTCTTTTTTTATTTTTACAAACTTCCTCCAAAAATCCAGATGTTCTCACTATCATCAGACCCTAAAGTTCCGTTATACACTTAAAATGGTGCCACTTGGGTCTATAATGGGGGCGTAAGTGCTTCTGGAAATTAGGTAAGCACGGGAAAGTGGGAATGAAGGCATATTCGAGAGACAAGCTTGTAGTAACAACGTTAAGAGCGCATTAGATCCGTTGGATGTGAGTCGTTTGTTTTGTTGTTAAAAGTGACAGATAAGGTGGAGGTGGAGGTATCAGGGTTATAAGAACTTCAAGAAGACTGTTGCAAGTAATATCTCTACAGTCAATTTGTCTTTACGATAATATGCGTATAAGATGTTCTAAAACTTCGTTATGCGGGCTTCAAGCATTATATGATTTTTTTTGTGAGTATATAGGGTATCCAAGCTTTTATTAAACATTAAATATATCAGTTATTTTTTCAATTATTGCTTTCTTTAAAAAATGTTTTCAAAGTTTTTTCGGATGAGTGTTGTTTTTATTTTATGAGAGACTTTCTTTAAAACATGTTTTCCAAGTTTTTTTCGGATGAATGTTGTTTTTATTTTATGAGAGACTTCCTTCGGAGAATTGGCTAATGAAGATATTTTCTATATTTGGTTTAATACAGTCATAATGTTCTTCTTCATTATTTGGCTAAAATTTTATTTCTAAATGCTTTGCAAATTCAGTGAATTTTTTCTATATAGGCATTGTTTAGAATGCTGTTATAAATTTTCATGATCCACATTTTGATTTTTTTTTAAATTCAGTTTTTATCTGAAGGTACTATGGTCAGTGCATAAATTATTAAAAGAAAAATTCAGATCCACTAAAATAAATATTTTTTGATTTAGTTTTAACAAAGCTTTTTTAAGATTACTAAAATTGTGTATGAAGGCAAAAACTGACTGGGTTCGAGCAAGTTAAGTTATTTTGGAATCAAAACTTGTTTAAAAATAAAAACTATTTTAAAATACAATAAAATACTGATTTACTCGACCGAGGTTAAAGCAAGAATTAATTAAATGTTAACAAGAATTATCTACAATGAAATATGATATCTGTACAACGTTACTATTATTTATATGATATGGTAAAATATATTTATATAACTTCTCCCTTCTTAAGAGAAAACAACACGGATTTGGAGTTGTTTTCTGGTTTATCTTCTTCGGGTTGCTATGTGGTTGGTTTTTTCGTTTTTCTTATGTAGTACCATGCTATACCAACGGGAAATACAATCAGGATTATTATTACCAAATTAAGTAAATTCCAAACGGCTGGATCGACTTGTTGAATATTTGGCGATGTTAATCTAGACTGGAGTTACATTTCGTTAATTGATTGGAGGTTAATTGCATGCAACTGTATGGGTTCTTCTGTATTTTTGAAGTTTCTTCTAAGATTCCACTCGAATTTCGGCAATATAAGTGGATTTGCATTAATTATTTCTTCAGTTATAATTGTGAATTAGCATTGCAGGACTGGCATGGCATCTTGGTTCTTCAGCTTTGATAAAAGGAATGACACAATTTTCATCTGTTATTTTTTCGTGGTTTTGGTGACTTGGTGTATCGAGTATTAGGTAGGTTTCGTCAGGAATTATTATGGATTTTTGGTAAGGTAGGCCAATTAGGTGAAATGTTGTGTAGTTATCATTTATTAAAATAGGTGAATCTATGACTAAAATTATATTTGAGTTATTGATTATTACTTGAATGCCTGTTAATTGATAATAGACCGAGGTTAACGCAAGAATGAATTAAAAACGTCACTATCATTTATATGATATGGCAAAATGTCTTTATATAACTAACAGTTACTAAAAGCAGTGGGTTTTATATTATTGCGATAAGATCGTAAAAATGTAACTGTCGAGTTAGAACCTATAATTTCTGTTATTTACTTTATAAAATTAATGATAGCAGTTTCTGTAAAAACTTTATTTATAACGAAGTCTTCCTGAGACAAGAATTCATCCATATAGATATCGCGAAAATCGTCATCCCTATATTTACTTTTGGAAATGGTCTTAATTCCCCTAGAGTCAGTTTTTGATTTCCAACATTTAACCTTACATTTTTGCTAGCTGTTTTAATTTTATACTCTGAGTTTTTCATTAGTATTTAGTCAGAGTCAGATAATATTATTCGATTTAGAGGATGTAGTCCAGTTTTACTGAATGAGAATTATGTTATTTGGGATAAAAATTTTGTTCAGTGACGGAATATTTCTTATTGAAATTGCTTTCAATAATTTCTTCCAATGGAAACCTTTGGAAAATTATTTGTAATTTCTATTATAAGTTGTAAGAGATTGGAATAAAGAAATTGTATTAATTGACTTTAGTTTTACTCCTAACCACGATTTACTTTTGTTTCAGCCTACAAATGATATGATCGCTACTCCTTTACTAGATGTATCAAATTTAGAAAATCGGGTATGGTACAATAAGAGAGGAACGTCAGACAAAGTATCTCCGACCACAAGCACTACACCGAATGCCAATACCTACGACTACCACGCGGCTCAGCTAGAAAGGTTCTTAGAAGAGTATAGGAGCCTCCAGAAACAGTTGACTAAAATGAAGGAGACATGCGATAACCTTTGCTTAGAAAAGGTAAGGAACATTTTCTGTCTATAGTATGTTTCAAGGATATAAAAAAAGAGTAGGATCGATATATTGAATCTAGGTAGTCTAATGTGAAAATCTAGAAGTCTGCAATGATGCAATAAGAGTGTAAAAGTTGCAGTAGCAGAATTATTGCATAATAATTATACTCTTCACACATGAGTCTGTGAAGAGTATTATGCGTCTGTCCGTCCGATGTCACGTTTTTTGTGCGCACGATAAGTCAGAAACAAAAAACGATATCAAATTGAAATCTTCAAGAAAAACTAAGCTTTTTAAAGGGATAAAGCCTAATAATTCTAAAATAAATCTGAACAAAGATGGAGGGTTAAGAAGGGTTGAAATTTTTTTACAAAATCCTGACTTAAAATAGAAAAATAATATTAACTTAAAATTTTTAGTAAAAATCAAGCTCTATAGATTTTGAAAAAAAAACCTGATAGAAAATTGAAGTCTGTGAAGAGTACCTATAATATAGAATGCCAAGCATTATACATGGTGATTCATAAGTACTTTGACAAACTTCAGGAAATAATTCTTTGAGTAATTTTAAGGTAAAAAGTTTATATAAACATGTGTCCGGAAATGGATGGTTTTCAAGATACAGGGTGTTAAAGTTTTAAGAAAAAAAATATTTTTTTATCATATCTTTCATGCCACTGAAGATAATTTAATGAAATTTGATACACGTTGTTTTACCATAAAATGACATTTTCTGATGCTATTAACTTTTTTTTTATTTTCATCAGTGGCGTCCCTACGGTATTTAAACGCACCGTTTTCGCGTAAAAAAATAAAAACCATTTTCATACATGACTAAATTGCTAAAAATTTTTTGAGCGTACTTCTAGCACATTTTTCAGTAAAAAAATCGATTTCACTACCAAATTCATGTAAAAAAGCTACCCTTGTTAGAAGTCGTTACGTTTTCTAGATATTTGGACTTGAAATCTTCAAGTCGATTACTTAATAACCGATGCATGTTGAAGTTATCAGCATTATTTTGTTTTCACAATAGTGCCTAGAAATGAATTTGACATTTAGGTAAGTATTTATGGTAACAACACATTATGTGACAGTTAAACACTCCTCGTTAAGTTTTTTGGTTTTATCATTGAATTGGTGAAGTTTCTGTAAATTTTAAAACAGTCATTTAGAAAAATAGATTATTTAGACAATAATGCCTATTTAACCGACATGCATTTCGTTTATGGCCTTGCGGATGGCAATGCGCGCGAAGCGAGACGTATTTACCAGGAGCAATTTCCTAATCGAGTACTGCCTTCAGCTCCAACATTTTCCAGTCTCCACCGTCGTTTGGTTGAAACAGGTAGCTTTAAGAGGGCAGCTGATATTGTTGGAAGACCACGTGCAGTCCGAACCCCAGAATTGAAAGAAGCTATTTTGAACGCTGTCGAGGAGAATCCAGAAACAAGTACAAGAATAATTGCTGAAGCTCTCAATTCTACTCAGTCCACAGTTTGGAGAATTATCCACGATCAACAATTGTATCCATACCATATTCAAAGGGTTCAAGCTCCTTTGCCACGAGACTTTCCTCAACGCATTAATATGTGTCAGTGGTTTTTGAGGAAATTGGCTGAAAATCCATAATTTTTAAGATATGTACTTTTCACGGACGAGGCAAATTTCTCCAAAAATACTATCACAAACTTTCATAACAACCATGTGTGGGCTCTAGAAAATCCGCACGCAATTAGTGAAGGGCATTCTCAGTATCAATTTTCTGTAAATGTATGGGCTGGAATAATTGATGATTATTTGATAGGCCCTTTCTTTCTTCCACTCCGACTGGATGGAGAAACTTACAGACACTTTCTAGAAAACGAATTGCCGGGATTACTTCAGAATGTACCTTTAGAAAATCGTATCCGCATGTGGTTTATATATGATGGGGCTCCGGCCCATTTCAGCGTTGTAGCCAGGGAATTCCTTAACACTGTCTATCCAAATCGATGGATCGGTAGGGGTGTAGAAGAACCTAACCAGGCGTTGGCACCAAGGTCCCCAGATCTAAACCCGTTAGATTTTTATTTTTGGGGACATATGAAGTCATTAGTTTATAAAACTCCGGTAGCAAACGAGGAAGAACTAAGAAACCGAATAATAGACGCCTGTGAAAGAATAAGAAACACACCAATAATTTTTGAGCGAGTACGAGATTCAGTGACTAGAAGATTGAATGCCTGTATCTTCGCTGAAGGTGGGCACTTTCAACAATTTATTTGAATACAGTTTAATTTCGTTTATTTAATTTTATTTTATTTAAAATTTCTTGAAATAAAATGTTGATATTTCTTGCATATTGCATATTTTATTTAAAAACTACTGATTTTGTGCCCTCCGGATATTGATTTGCATTTCTACCGACATTGTACACATTTTTTTACGCGAAAACGGTGCGTCTTACGAACAAAAGTCATAAGTTCAAATTTGTTTCAAATTAAATGTAGATTTTAAAAATAATTTTTATTTTTTAAAAAACCAGTGGTGTACCATTTTTTTCTTTAATAATATTTAGTTTAAATACTGTAGGGACGCCACTGATGAAAATAAAAAAAAGTTAATAGCATCAGAAAATGTCATTTTATGGTAAAACAACGTGTACCAAATTTCATTAAATTATCTTCAGTGGTATGAAAGATATGATTTTTTTTCTTAAAACTTTAACACCCTGTATCTTTAAAACCATCCATTTCCGTACACATGTTTATATAAACTTTTTACCTTAAAATTACTCAAAGAATCATTTCCTGAAGTTTGTCAAAGTACTTATGAATCACCCTGTATATCTTCATATTTTATTTTTTTTTGCCTTGCTAGGAGGAGTTCTAACAGGCTTTCGCCAATCAGGCTTGGGTCCGGCCATATAAATTTTTTGAATGAAAATTAATAATAATTAATATTTTTATAATAATTTAATATTTTTTAGTAACATATTGTTTTATTACAGGAAAAGGAGAAGCACCTGTCTTTCATGCCATCGACATCGGTAACTAACAAACCTGCCTCCTTAGCCCTGTCGCCTAACTCTAATCAACCTTTGGAGGATTCTATAGATTTCAAAAATTTTGAAAACGAACTCAAGAAATATTTAATAACCAAAAAGTTGTCTCCAAAAAACTTTAATAACACCGAATTTGGTTCTTAAATAACAATATTTTGAAGTTTATTTATTATCTTTGACAATAGTTATTGTTATACTATGGTTTATTTATAATAATTCATAATTATAATATAATTTGGCATTAATCATTTACCAAAGTTCAATCAGTTCATTGAAATTAATTTATAAATATAAACAGACTCAATAATTTCAAATATTTCTTTTTAAATTCGTCAGTTATTAGGAATGAAATGAGAATGTAAAAATATAAAATTTATACAAATAATCAAAATAGTTCTGAAACCAGTTTTTAAATAATATATAGTATATTTATTTCTTCTTATAAAATAATGTACAAAGTCCGGGAAACTTCTGTTTAAAATTAGGGTGCCTCTACCAAAATTGTAAACGCTAATCGGTCATTTTTTAGGGAAAATTGGTACATTAAAAAAAATTATAACAGAAAATGGGAACATGTCTAAGTATCATATTTGTACCAATTTATTTTTTTAAGAATTGTAAAAAATAGAGGTAATAAAAACCTAAAAAATTGGTGGATGCACATCATGCGCCTCCACCACAATTCGTGTTATAATAATTACAATTTTATACTTTTCGCTGTAGCTAGGTACACGCTAACGTGTACACAAATCAAAAAATTATATACACGCGAAACGTCATCAAACGTTGAATTACGCGCCAGAGTTATTTACATTAGTTACGATCAAAAAGGCGATTCCCATAATAATACTCGCGTATCGGGGACAACACTAATGATTTGTAATTGATGTGGTGGAAAGTGTTTGTGTGAATGCTTGTTTGTTTTCATTTACGCAGTGACTAGCAGTAGTATTTTATAAACCTTAGAAGCAAATTTCACATACATGAACAAATAATAATAATAATAATAATAATAATAATAATGCCTTGACAACAACAAGACGAAGCAACGACTTCTCGTAGGGTGGCGGCTTCGCCGCCACCAGAAAATTTCAATCCATACCTGGCTAGGCCGACCGGCATAAACACCAACGGCCTGGACACAGCTCACCTACTCTGTCAAAAGCAGACCGATGTACAAATAAAACGCATACGACATGCGCACTACAAATCATTAGTGTTGTCCTTGATACGCGAATCATAATAATACCGTAGCGTACGTAGTTTCGCGTGTAAGTATATAACTTTTTGAATTGCGTACAAGTTAGCGTGTACTTAGACACTGCGTATATTTTTTTGTCAATACAGAGATTGCTTGAGTGATTTTTTTCTAAGTGTGTTGAAAAGTACATCTTCCTAAACTTAAATGCGTATAGAAAGGGACGTTTTTCTCACACTTGGCGAAGATTTTATCCAAACAGTTAAACACAAATAAAAAGTAATAGAAATGTTAAACACGAATTTGGTGCATTTTGATTAAATTTTCATCCATTAATATTAATAATTACACTTTTTCTAAAACAAAATTTAAAAATTTTTATGGATTTTAAGAAATTTGTGTGTAATAAAATGTTCTTATATGATTACCGTTAGGGCTGGGGAATTTTTAAAATAAATAATCGATCATCGATTATTTGAAATAATCAAATATTTCGATTAATTAAAAATAGTCGATAAATCGAATATATTCGATCATTTTAAATAATCGATGATCGATTAATTATTTTGATAATCCATTATTTTCGATTATTAGAAAATAAGATATTATCAATTAAAAAAAAAATGACTAACCGACTAATCAATAATTAAACATCTAATTAAAAAATTAATCGATTATTTTACCCAACTCTAGATAATAATTTAGTAAACTTAATACAAACCCAGATAACATTTTACACTGTAATTATTTTATTTTAGAAGCAATCTTATGATATTGGGTGATTCGTTTATAACCAATTAATCGAAATTAACGATTAATTGAAAATAATCGATTAATAGAAAATAATTGATTAATCGAAAATAATCATTTAATCAAAAATAATCGATTAATCAAAAATTTAAATTTGTTTTACCATTTTTTTATGTCTATAATAAAAAATACTTAAGAGAATTCTTGTAGACATTGCGTTTTCAATATACTTTAACTTTGTCAAATAAAAATAAAAAAAACAATTTATATACCAAATTTATAATTTATAAGAATGAGTTCTAAGTGAAAATAATGTAAATATCGACTTGTATAATTGTTATAATATTCCTATTTGTTAAATGTTATAGAGTAGTATAACTTTGTGATATTAATTAGGTATAGGAGAAAATTTTGAGACTATAATGATTGTTTGGTCTATACTAAAGGTTATACACATATCCTTTCAAATTTGTCAATAAAACTATCGTAATAATTTGGCTTTTATTTACTTACCTTAATCCCTACTTATAATTCTAGGGCAAGCTTAATAATGAAAAAGGAAAAATAAGAAAGTATTCATACCTCATCATCCTACCACATCGCTCTATTCTAATACAAAGATCCGAGAACAAAAAGTGATGAAATTTTGGTATCGGGATAATAGAAATGCGAGGAGGTATTTCGAAAAGGCAGGAAAATTGGGTTCCTTAACTGTATAATTTAATGTAACGCAAAATTGGGTTCTCTAATTAAATAGATACTGCCATTCAGGGTAACGCAAAATTGACGGATTATAAAGTTTAAATACCTCTTAAACGGCTTAATATATAGGGACGAAAGGCATAGAGCAGCATTCTATTCTACCTGTCCGACTCTACGTTTGTGTGAAAATATAGAATAATTAGATAATTAGTAACTGATTAAAACTAAAAAAAATACACCCTTATAGATAAAAAGTAATTTTGTCTGTACCCAAATTTGCATTAAAATCGGAAAAAAATGTGACAAAAAATGTCAAAATTGTTTGTAAAAAAATTTGTCAAAACATTTTAAAGGATATTTTCTGTTTTGGAAAAATGAAAGTTTAAAAAATTGGCATATATATAGCCTTAAAGGTCTAGATCACAGATCTAGAGTGTTAGGAGATAGGCGATGATCATCTGCAATATATCTCAAATACGTTTATTAAAGGGCGCCGCCATGTTGGTCAAACTTGGGACTGAGGAGTTTGCGCAATAAAACAAATTCAATTTCATGTCAGTTGCATCAGCTGTCATGATTATTTATCGTTTTTCTGGTTCATTTGTCAGTTTTTATTAATTAAATTGTATTACTGAGTGTTTTCTGGTATTATTTTTCTTATTTTAATATCATTAAAACATGTTTAGTCATGATTTATTATATGAAAGGTAACCTGCCTTGTCACAGGTAATATTTATTGTCTTCAACAGGTTCGTACTCATGTCTCATGTCCTACTATTGGATTTACGATGCACCAGTTTACTTCTCTGTATTAATCTATTGTAATATTTTCAATAATTTATGTTTGGTTTGCCTTCTCTCAATAATTGCTTATTAAGAATATTGTATTTATTGTCATATCTGTATATTTATCATTTACCTTGCATGATGTCTCGGAAAGAAACGGTAGTCTATCTGGTTAAGAGCTATTAAAAGAAGTACCAGCGCAAATATTAGTCCTACAAATAGAATTTGCTCAAACACTTTTAAGAATCTGATATAATTAGGACAGGCAATAAAAAATATATCAAAGCACTTCCAAAACTGTTTTTGTCAACAAATATATTCCAAAGAAAAAATTGAGGTAATTTAATAAAGTATTTTTTTGTTATACGTAAGTATATAGATACATAGATTAATAAAAATTTGATATTTGCATATGTTAGATAGATTTAAATAAATTAAATGTTATTGGAAGGTGGATACTCCTCAAGCCTTGTTCTCCAATATGTTAACATTTACTTTTAATCAAAATAATCTGATATAAATAATAAAATTAGACCCTTCTAGGGATATATCTTTAGATAATGTAACCAAAATTGCTGGTTGTAGCAGAGATATAGATGACATTGGTTTCCACCCTCCCAAAAAGATTGATAGAAATTCAAAGATATTTTTTCATAAATTAATTATGAAGTTTAAATATATTTTATGCTGCAAAGGTTGTTGTTTAATAGACATGCTGTACGTATTTTATTGTAGGTCTAGAAATTTGTTTTATATAAAATCTACAATAACTTAAATAGTAAGGAAGTTTTATTTTTTTATATATGTAAACTTATTTGACATATTCGTATTTCTTTTTTTAGATTGCCTGATAAAGCTTCATCTTCCAGAAGTTTCAATTTCTTTAAGATTTAGGTCACATTAGTTTTATTTATGTGATTTAGGATCGATTCCACCGTTGCGTTAAACGGAGATTAAAATGACATTGATAATGTAAAAATGTCATTTTATACTTCGTTTAACACTACGGTGGAATCGGTCCTTATATTATTAGCAAATATAATCTACATAACTTTTGTTGTAACATACACAAATGTGTATATTTGTAAAATTTATTAGAATTACCTTTTTCCCAAAATCAACAGTTAATTTATAAAAACAAAAATAATGGTTTTATTTCTTTTTATGAATTTATATCGAAAGCTATATGTAAAAGTTAAATAACTGATTATTTCAGCAAATTTTATGTGATGTAGTGAAATAAATATATATTTTTTTAACATTCACTAAATATAAACTCGTTTACAGATTTTTATATTTTTCTTCTCACTATAAATTATTTAAAGAAAGGACACATATTATATAAAAAAATTAGTTATTTTGTCTAATATTCTAAGTTCAGACCTGTTTACTCCTTTCTGCACATGCTGGCTAATCCCAAAAATAAAAAGATGGCGGCTCACTATAATAAATTTTTTTGGTTTATTGCATAGCCTATCTCCTAACACTCTAGATTTGTGGTCTAGATCGTAAAAAATACTCTGTTTTCTTCTAACAGATCCAGTTTAAAGGCTGACGCTCATTTTCCAAAAAGTATCCAAGGCAGAGAGAAACAGACCCCAGCCAAACATTTTAATTCGCTTACTATAACGCTTTGCCAAATTTCATAAAGATGACGGCAGAATTTTTTTTCTCATCACTCTTCTATTATTCTTATACAACAATCCGATGACCAAAAGTTGTAATTTCGGTATCAGAATAACAACAGCAATGCGAGGAGGTATTTTAAAAAGGCGGCAAAATTAGGTTCCTTAATCAAGTTACTGTATAATTTAGGATAACGCAAAATTTGGTTCCCCAATGAAATAGATATTGCTATTCAGGG